ACGCAGTACAACCTTCTGGACACAGGCTCTTTGATGCAGAGAACAATGTCTATCCCTCTGACTAATTTGCCCTTTACTAATACCACACTCCCCCACTTGTACCATGGTGCCATAGGTCAATTAACTCTTCCACTTTGCAGCCCCCCACTCTCATCCAGATGAGCTGAAAGAACCTCAAACTTGTTGGAGAAGTATAAAGATTGAGACTCCTGCCCTCTGAGTCCCCTTACCTGCCTTACTCACAGTTCAGTCTCAACAGAGCAAATTAAACTGTACAATCCTAAGAAGTTTAATTCCTCCTAGCACAACAAATCCATGTAACTCTCCCCTTCCCTAAGGTAGTATCTGTAGTTCAACTGTTAGCTCATAAACGCGGAACTGAAGCCACTTGAATTTCAAATACCTGCTGGAGATGTGTTTGCTCTAGACCAAACTGGCATCCAGGAGCACCCAAGTGCGGTAAATATGATATATCATCTATCCTACTATCCTAAATCTGTTTTAATTAACCACTTTATTATTTTATTAAATTATATATTTACTTACTTACATTTTTATATATTTTAGGAACATTACAATCAGTTGCTGTACTATGTTGAAGCATAGGAATAGAATAAACCGTAGTCACCATATACTCACCAAATAAGTAGCTTGTTCTGCTGTAGCCTAGTAAGAATCAATTCCTGAAAAGCTCGGGGAAAGAAAAAGGAATAAAGCACCTCTTTCTCTTCCTCTACCCCTCCTCTTAGCCACCTAACTCTGGCACACTGCTGTAAGATGTATTAAGTTGGCTAGTTTTCTCAGTTCCTAACACAAAAGGCCTAACTAATCCATTTACTGTGAGACTGATTTGAACTGCTCCCTTAGTTCAGCCCAGCTGCTGAGGGCCTTTCAAAAAGTCCTGCTGAAGGCCAGGAACTAAAGAATTTAAACTATAGGTTACAGTTCAATGCCAGCTACAAACTACAGACAAATTTGGATTGGTACAAAATCTTGCTCATCAATCGCAAGCAGTTAGTCCTAATTCTGATGAAAATTTAAACCAAATAAAAACCGAAAGAACTGTGGATGCTGTAAATCAGGAAGAAAAACAAAGTTGCTGGAAAAGCTCAGGTCTGGCAGCATCTGTGAAGGAAAAAACAGCTAATGTTTCTGATCTGGTGACACTTCCTCAGAACTCTGACCCAAAACGTTAACTCTGCTTTTTCCTTCTGATGAAAATTTACTAGCTTTAAAATGTTTTTCTCTCTATTAAAGGCCAAAAGGTATAATTTCTGAAATTTGCACATATTGTGAAGGCCCATGATGTTGTGATATCACCGTCTCCTGTGCAGCTCTGCATACTTCCATGTATGAAGAGTAAAAGAATTACAGCAGATGTACATATAATTGCATGGTGATTAAATCACAGCAATAGGTCTTTTTTTGTCCCACCAGTCCTTAATAGCATTTACCCTTCAAAAGATAGAGTTAAAAAATTGTAGAATTCCTACAGTGTGGAAACCGGCCATTTGGCCCATTGACTTCACACTGACCCTCTGAAGAGCATCCTACCCCCCTACTCTGTCCCTGTAACCCTGCATTTCCCATGGCTAATCTATCTAGCATGCACATCCCTGGATGCTATGAGCAGTTTAGCATGGCCAATCCTCATAACCTGCACATCTTTGGACTGTGGGAGGAAACTGGAGCACCTGGAGGAAACATACAGAGACAGGGAGACTGTGCACACTTCACACAGACAGTCTTCTGAGGCTGGAATCAAACCCTGGTCCCTGGTGCTGTGAGGCAGCAGTGCTAATCACTGAACTACTCTGCTGCCTCTATTATAGCTCTGTCAACTATCCCTGTTGCCTCATATCATAAATAACTTTTCCATCAACTACCTACCCAATCTAATCTTGAATGTTTAATCATTTCTGTCTCAAACATTAATCCTAGAAGTGAATTCCATGCTCTCTTAACCATCTGTAGAGAGAAATTTGTCTTACCCTCTACAGATGGCTCCTACCACTTAACTTCTTATCTGTTGTCTCTCATTCTTGACCCTTCAAATACTGATATTGATCTGCTTCCATCTGTTATGTCCTGTCCTTTCAGTAATTTTATGATTTGCGCAATATTACAAAGATATGAGGGGAGAGCTGGTAAAAATTGATTGAATAAATAGATTAATAGATATAGTGGTAAATAAACATGGGAATTAATTTAAGGTATATTTCAAATTGTTCAACAAAAATGCATCCCATCAAAAAAAGCAGGAAAAGTCATCCCTGGCTTATGACACCTGTCATAAGCACACCTTTTCTTTCTTGTCTTAAATTCTCCTTCTTCATTCAGGCATCTCTGGATTTTTTGCCTTACCTTTTCCGTTTGACAAATATACCTTGCCAGAATGATCTCTCCTTTAAAGGTAGCACATGTTTCTTTTAACAACATTTCACTCCAGTTTATCAAGTCTAGCTCCATTCTTGCTCCATTGAAGTTAGTTCTCCCCTGGTATATTATTCTTACTCTGGATTGTTTATTGTTCTTTTCCAACATCATTCTGAACCTCATGATACATTTATGACAGAATCACAGATATATTATGGCACCAATGACCATTTGTTCCATCATGCCTGCATTGGCTTTTCAAATGAGCATTGTTATCCATTACCAATCTCCTGCTTTTTCCCCATGCCCTTGCACACTATTTGCATCCAAATAATCATCCAATGCCCTCATGAATGCTTCAGTTGAACTGTTCCCTAAATGTCCTCCAGTGTCACTTGATCTTCTTGACCCACCTCAGCTCCAAGAACCAAGTCTATGACCACTTAAAATTTTTTGTTGGACTATACACATACTGCTGCAGAAAATTCTACAGAACAGAGTCCAGGAATGCTTGACCCTTACTGCCCTTTATTATCCTGGTGTATATTAATATAAATGATAGAATTCCATTGGTCAATGGTAATCCCCAGGATGTTGATAGTGGGGTTTTCAGTGACAATAAAGCCATTGATTGCCAAAGAATGATAGTTAGATTGTCTCTATTGAAGATAGTCATCACGTTGCAGAAATTCACCAAGACTCCTTAGACAGAATCTTTCAAACTCATGACCACAACCATATATAGAAGAACTAGAGCAGCAGATACATGGGAAGAAATAGTTCCCCTCCAAATTACTCACGATCCTGATTTGTAAATGTATCTCGTTTTTTCATTGTTACTGGGTCAAAATCCTCAAATTCACTCCCTAACCCCATTGTTGGTCTGCAGGGGTTCAAGAAGGCAGCTCATCACAATCGTCTCAAGGGCAACTAGGGATGTGCAATAAATGCTGGCCGGCTAGTAGTGCCAAGGGCCATGAGTGAATATAAGAAAAGTAAGGCAGTCACCCATCTGCTCTTCCTGTTTCTGTACTCACTTGTGCATTGTACTGGGAGTAACATAGATATTTTTACTTTTGGGGTTTTTATACTAATTTTCTGACTAGTTCCCCAAATTCTGATCACAAGACTATGTTCCCCTTCTTACCGTTGTTGTTGATACCAATGTGGCACAACCTTTAGCTGATCAACCTCCCATTAATAGAATATCCTGTAGCTGTCCTGTGAGGTACCCTGGCACCAGAGAAGTAACATACCGTACTGGAGTCAAGACCATGGCTGCAGAAACACCTGTCTGTTATTCTAATTGATGAATTTCTTATCATTACTCCTTTTTCATTATTTTTCCTTTCTTTCTATTCTTTTGTTATTATCCTAGCTGATGTAATTATTGAGATAACACAGTGTGGAGCTGGAGGAACACAGCAGGCCAGGCAGCATCAGAAGAGTAGGAAAGTTGATGTTTCGGGTTGGGACCCTTCTTCTGAAATTTGGTTTGATAGATCATATTTAGTTTCTTGGAGGGTATTTTAATGAGGTGGTCTTGCATTGCATGCTTGCATTTCAATGATACAGATTTTGGTTTCAACAAGAAAACTGAAGTATATTACACAAAACGACAAGAAAAAACAAACTTTTTACATATAATACAAGTTTAAAGATTTTAAACACATGATTATGTACAATTCCTTTAATCCCAACAGCACTCCTTTACAATACATACATCAGAAAGAATTCCCTTCCCTATTGTTTTTAAATGGCTCAATTTAACTTTTCCTTCAATTCCCAGTCTTGAGAATCTGGAATCTGTTTCCTTCAGTCTTCATATTCCTGAGCTTAGACTTTCTCAGCTTCAAATAAGTTTCCAGAGTTTTAACCAAACACATCTGGTCTGGACTTTTCAGACTAAACTCCTGACACTGAGGTAACCTATTTCTGAATAATTCTGAGCTATCCCTTTCTGCAAGAGCAACTGCCTTACACATCAAATTTCAGCCAAGCCTTTTGCATATTGAAGCCTTCAAAGTATGGGTGTTTCTTCTAAACCAAAAAATACTCTACATTTTTCTACCTGAAACCTGATGCACAATTGTTTATTCTGTTTGCTCGTAAAGCTCACGAAAAACAAAGCGCATGACTGTCCAGGAAATATCTCTTTTCTAATGTATTTTAAAAGAAATCATCATGGTTATGGAAATACTTACAAGTTAATTATTAAACGCCTTCATAGACTCAGACCAAACCCCACATATGTCCAGTTCAAAGTCCAAACTCAGAAACAGTGATATTAAATGCTTCATAAATTGAGTTGCCTATGCACTATATTCACACCTTTCTTCTGTTCTCCATGCTGACATTGTTCTCTAATATCACTTAGTTGCAAAAAGCATAGATTAAGAATTATTCTGAATTGGAACTAGATTGTTTGTTTAGTATGTGTTGAACACTTTTATTGAGTATATTTCCTGAGATTGGAATGATTAATTTGTGAAGTGCACTTCTCTATTCTGAGTTTTTAACATGAATGGGTAGTACTGATTCAATCAAAATATCAGTGCTTTACTTTTTTGAATTGATAACTTCTTTGAAATTGTCTGACAGGTGTTTTATTCAAAATTTTTCAGGGTAAAGGCCAAAAAAGGAGTGAACCTGAAAAATATGTGGCCCAAAAATCCTGAAACCTGGCAGTTGAGATCAGAGATCATGAATGGTGGAAAACATTCTATTGCCACAGTGGAGATGAATAGAAAGCAAGGAGTTTTAAGCAGGTGAGAAAATTTAACAAATACCATTGGATTTACCATGGCATTATACACCATGTGGGGTAAATTTTCACACTGCCTCCTTATTCCATAATGTAGATTTGATGAAAGAACTGCAGAATTGTTAAGTAAATATTGTTGATGGTGAATTTCTAGAGTTTCCATAGCTCTTTCACCAAACATGAAAACTCACCCCTGTGAAGAAATATGGTCCCTCTCTTACCAATTTCTTCTTTTGTTGGTGGTTGCCTTCATCCCATAAGAACAGGATTAAGCCATTTTCTCTCTTATTCAATTGGCAATTCCATCATTAAATTAGTTAATATGTGATCCATATATTATCTTCAACTACCCCACTTGGTTCCATAATGCTTAATTCCCTCAATTAACAAAAACTAATTATCGTGGTTTTAAAATTTTGACATAACCTACCATCAGCAAATTTAGGGGAGGATTCCAGATTTACATTAATCTTCATGTAACTAAGTGCTTCTTGCATGCTGCTTCGGTCTATTTCTTCCTGTTTATCTACTGTTTCCCTTTCATTAACTGTTTGCTTTTTACTCTGAGCTTCCCCAGCTTTTGTCTTTTCATTACTTTCAGGTAGGAGCAGATGATGATCACAAGGTGGTGAAAGGAGTTGTTAATTGTTATTTTCTCCATTTTCTGGTGCCAGTTGTGAGAAAATTTTGTTTTCAGTAGTTCCAGTCGAAGCCCTGATGTCTTTACATTGTTGTCTTCCTATTATTATTTCCTCTTTCAATCACCTTGTTCTAATGATACCCTTAATTCTATTGCTGCCCCTTTCCCTCACTTAATCATTGCTTACCCCAGTCTCCATCTGCATCCCATATTTTGAACGATCTGCCCCAAACATGGGTAATGGGCATTTTTACTGTTTCCCTCTTTCCATTTCCCCTCTTTGCTAGTCAATTTACTCAGAAACATTGTTTGCTTTCATAATTGAATTTTCTTATCTGCTCTAATAAACAAATCATACTATCGAAAGTGTCCTCTTCCTCCTTTTCTTCTTTTAATCTTTGGATGCCAGTAATTTGAGTCTTTCTCAAGATCTTTAAACAAAACCACCCATTGTTGACTTACTTGATTCAATATTGGTAAAGATGAAAGTTCCAACCCTTGGGTTTTTGAAAAATTGGTAAAATACTTGTGAATTAATTTGAAATATTAATTTTAGTGATTTTTAGTTTATTCATTCAGGGAACACGGTCATTATTGGCTAGGCCAGCATTTATTGCCCATCCCTAATTGCTCTGGAGAAGGTGACTTTCTTGATCTACTGCAATCCTTGAGGAGTAGGTACAGCCACAATACTGTTAGGGAGAGTGTTCCAGAATGTTGACCCAGAGATGGTAAAGTGACAGACATGTAGTTCCAAGTCGAGATGGCATGTGGCTTAGAGGGATACTTGCAGGTTATGGTATTCCTATGCATCTATTGCTCTTCTTCTTCTAGCTGGTAGAAGTTACAGGTTGGGAGGTGCTGTTGGATGAACCTTGATGTGTTACTGCATTGCATATTGTAAATGGTACACCTTAATTCCACTGTGCATCAGTGGTTCAGGGCATGAATGTTTAAGAGAGTGGATAGGGTGTCAGTCAAGCAGTTGCCTTGTCCTATATGGTGTCAACCTTCTTGAGTGTTGTTAGATCTGCTTTCATCCAGGTAAGTGGGGACTGTTCTGTTACACTCCTGGCTTGTGTCTTCTCGATGGTGGATTGGCACTGAGTGACAGGAGATGAGTTTCTTGCTGCAGGTTTCCTACCCTCTGACCTGGTTTTGCAGCCACAACATTTAAATGGCTGGCTCAGTTCAGGTTCTATTCAGCTCTGGAATTCATCTCTTTTGTCCAAGCCTTTAGACCAAGGCTGAAACTAGGTCTGGTGCTAAGTGATTATGGTAGAACCTAATTTTAAATTAAATTAAATATGAATGAGGAAAGATCCGTTGCTCAGCTTCAAGAACATATTGAAATTTATCTTGCAAATGAAAAGGCACAACAGCCACTAAATTGCATGCTTTAGTTTCTCTTTTTTTCAAATGTAGACATTTTTGAGTAAAACTAATAAGGTGTTATTATTTTCTGATCCGTTGAGTCTCAATATTAGTAGCAAATGTACAAGCTACTGAATTGTAGCAGAGGTCATTCCCTAAGTCCCAGAAAGCATGGGCGTCTCTCAGGAGGATATTAGTTTTTGATTCTCTTCTAGGGAGAGCAGTTAACGGAGGTTTAATATAATTAAAGCTGAGTTAGACAGTTTTTTGCTTGACAAGGGAATCAAAGCTTAGGGGAATAAGCAGATTAGTGGAGTTGAGGCCTTAATTGGACCAGTCATGAGCTTATTGAATGGTGGAGCAGGCTTGTGGGTTCCGATAACTTTTGTCTGCTCCCATTTCTTATTATCATATAAAGAGAAAAGGCATTAAAGTAGTAAATTTGTAACTCTGGGTCTCATCCATAATTTTGTGAATTTGGCAGCTCGTATATAGATTTGAAAGTGTAAAGACTTTATCTTTTTTATTTTTGTACTTATTAAAATTATGGACTGAAATAAAGAACTGCTTTTAAAACCAGTGTTTTGCAAGGATTGCTGCATGTTTTCTAAAGCAAGTAATCTGATATTCATGACAAATTACATATAGAGCTGTTGAAACAAGCTGTAATTGAAATTCAGGTTGCAAACAAACTGGAGTCAACGGGCTTCTGTTGCCAAGACTGCTCAGGAGGAACACTCCAGTTCTGACTCCACTGGGCCTCCAGAATAGTAATCGTTTATTGCCTCTTGCATAACCTTGTTCAATTCCATGATGAGACCTTAGAAGATGAACAACTGGATCTGTCTCCTAAGACCAGGAAGAAGGGGAAGGTGATGGTAATATTGAGAGGTGATAATGCTGATGATGAGAATAGTGAGGAAGATAGGCTAGTAGTGCAACAAGGAAGACTCACCTGAGAAAATCTGATAGCAGTTAGGTTTAAGGGCAGATGACTTTGCAATAACATATGTGGACAGTCAAAACTTTTTGTCAACTATGCCTTAGCGTCATTCCGGCTCTAAAGGAAATGCTTGCTTTACAATTTTAAAGTATTAAGTTACTTTGGCATAAGTTCAAATTAATTTGCTCCTTATTCACCACACCTTCATATTCTGTTTCTGTTCAGAACATCAGAATGGAGTTATGGAGGATTACATCGGAGCTGCGGTTTTATGACTCAAACCTTCATTTGTGGGCATTAATCTACCACTGAGAGGGAGACTAACATGAACAGTGTTAACTCTCAAAATCAACTTAGGTAGATTTCTGATGAAGGGTCTAGGCCCGAAACATCAGCCTTTCTGCTCCTATGATGCTGCTTGGCCTGCTGTGTTCATCCAGCTCTACACCTTGTTGTCTAACTTAGGTTCACAGTTTCCAGAGGAGTCATGTTCCTCTCGGAGAACAGCAGTGAATGCAGCCTTCTTTACATTCCTGCACACGATGTGCACATGAGCATCTAGGGTGATCGTTACCCCTCAAAGTGTCTACACAGAAAATATAGTCAGAAGCCTTAAAAACTGAAAGAAACCACAGGAAGGACAGTTGTACTAAGTGCTGTATTTATGTCAAGTGTAACATTGTATAGAAGGTTGACATCTGAGCACCTAAAATGAATGTAATGTTCTTCGTTCTTTCTTTTCCTACCACTATGACTTGCTACCACTTCAGCAGCAATAGCTAAACTTGAGGAACCTGCTGATTGTTTTGCTGCCTTGCATTGGATGATCTTGATAGGTGCCCACCTCAGCCTGACCTGTAGGAGGCATTTGGTTCCCTAGCAGAGGGGATGTGGTGCAGCAGGGCACTTCTGTAGTATCCTGAGGTGACGATCCCTTGGTACCTCACTGTTGCTCCTCCTCCCTGTCACTTTCATCATCCCTTGATGAGATGCCTCCCTTTAAGGGAGGTCAAGGTCTCACCAGCCCTCTCTTTTACAGCCATTGTATACATGCATCCATGGCTCAAACGATGAGGGAAGATGACCGTGCATATCCAGCAGATACTGATTGTTTTGCTGGGTCTGGCTTTTCATGGAGGCCAGCACTGGTTCATTAAAGACAGAACTTATGCACACTCCTCTGCCCTTCACTATAGTTTGCGCATGATTTTTGGCACCACTACCAGACTTTCCCTTGCTTGTCTATTCATTTTCATCAGCTCATTAATTGCAGAGCCCAGAAGCTTATCATTTGTACGGGGCTTAGCAGGGGACTATTTTCCAGCAGTCATAGAGTCATACAGCACAAAAACAGACCTTCAGTCCAACTTGTTCATGCATATCAGACATCCTAATCTGACCTAGTCCCATTTGCCAGCATTTGGCTACATACCTCTAATCCCTTCCAATTCATATCCCCATCCAGATGCCTTGAAAATGTTGTAATTGTACCCACCTCCACCACCTCCTCTGACAGCTTGTTCCCTGAAAATTACCCTTTTTAAATCTTTCCCCTCTCACCTTAAATCTGTGCCCTCTAGTTTTGGACTCCCCACCCCAGGAAAAAGACCTTGGCTGTTCACCCTATCCATGCTCCTCATGATTTTATAAACCTCAATAAGGTCAACCTTAACCTCCGACAACCCAGAGAAAAAAGCCCCAGCCTATTCGGCCTCTACCCATAACTCAAAAGTGAGACATGTTTTCCCATGCACAAAGCCATGTTGACTATCCCTAA